GGAGGGGTGGGGTGTGGGGAGGGTCGGGCTGGGTAGGGGGTTGGGATCAGGAGGGGTGGAGTGTGGGGAGGGTCGGGGAAGGAGGGCGGCCAAAGGCGTTTTTTATTAATCATAATAATAACGTCTCAAAACCCTCCTCTTGGAGCCCTCACTCAGGGTCAGTATAGGGGAGGGCGACCCTTGAAGAGGAGGGTCTCGAGTCGTTATTATGATTAATAAAAAGTGTAAATTTGTTGTTGTTGGAGCAGGAGGAGTAGAGGGGAGCCAGGACATGGAAGCCCCCCAGGCCCAGCCAGTGTCCGCCGTCAGTCAGGCGCTGCTCAGCTTGACCAAGGCCGAGCAGGTGAGGAGAGACACGGAGCTGGTGATGCAGCCTCATGCCAACTGGGAGCAGTTCCTGATCCCGGCGCCCATTTCCATCGCCATCCTGGGGCAGCTGGTGGCCATCACCTCGGCTGACGACTTTGCGCTAAGCCCCGAGGGCTCGGGCCGCAGTTACCGCTTCCTCCGCTACCCCGAGTCGTTCCGTGCCTGCCTGATGCAGTTGAGCAACCAGGGCTGGAGGGCCTTCAGCACCGCTCACACCAACATGGAGCAGATCCGGCTGCACTCGCGCAGTATCCCGGCCCACCTGCGTGGGGTGCTCGGGTCCCTGCTGGGCCCGGACTCCCCGGCCTCCCGCAGGCTCCTCCCGCTCCAGCTCAGCAGCATCGAGCAGCGGCCGAGCAGTGCCTGGGGCTGGCCCTGGCCGTCCAGGCCGCCTTCTCCGGCCTCATCGACCTGACCCACGAGCTGCTGGAGGCCAGCGTGAGCGCCGGCAGCCGGTACCGGCAGGAGGTGGAGGCCGCCCGCGGGGCCCTGGCCGAGGCCGGGAGGCGCCGGGAGCAGATGCAGGAGGAGCAGCGGCAGCTGGAGGAGCGGCTCGGGCGGCTCGGGCAGGAGGTGGAGGAGGCTCAGGACGGGTATCGCCGGGCGGTGTCCTCGGCGCCCGGACACTGGGGTGCGCTCGGGCTTCACGTCGCCGAGGCCTCCATCAACACAGTCAGCGGCCTGGTGTCCGCGCTCGTGTCCACGGTGACGGCTGAGCCCGCGAGCCTGGCCGCCGGGGTAGTGGAGGCCGTAGCCGGGGCCGGCAGCGCCATCGCCGAGCGGATCCGGGAGAAGCAGCGAGGTGCGGCCGCCCGGCCTGAGGCCGGAGCCGAGGCTGGAGCCGTGGCCGGAGCCACCGCCCGGATCCTGGCCTCGCACACCGAGCTGCTAGTGGGGGCCCTGCGGCTCCGGGAGGTGATGGCCGGGGGCGGCCTCAGCGTCGGGCAGCTCCGAGACCAGGCCTCGGGCCGGGGGCTCTGGCTGGACTCCGAGGAACTCTTCCGCAAGGTGAAGGAGGCTGTGAGCCTGGAGGAGGCCTGTGCCCCCAGGGCGGCTGCCCTGAGCCTGTGTGAGCGTGGCCTGGCTGCCTGCCGGGAGCTGGAGGGGTTGTCTAACCGCGGGCTGGGTTCTGCGGAGCAGGTGGAGGCTGCCATCGAGGAGCTGTACGCCGCGGCCCTCAAGTTCAGCGCCAGGAGCACAATCCGCACTGACTCCCCCGTGCTCAGCCAGACCGCACCCAACCTGTCCCGGGCGGCCAAGGCTAATGGGGAGCCAGCAGAGCCCAGCGTGGCTCAGGCCGCCCTGGCCCAGGCTCGCTTCAAGATGGAGAACGCCAAAGCCCAGCTGGACAGCAGCCGCTGCCGCTACGACGAGAGCTTCCGTGAGCTGAGAGTCACCAACAAGGAGCTGGACAAGGTGCTGGCGGAAATGAGCAGGTGTCAGGTGAAGGAGCTGGACTTTGAGGGCTCCTTGGCCCTCCTGACCCGAGGCCTGCAGGCTCTGGGCAAGGTCAGGGAGCAGTGGACCAAGATGATGCACTTCTTCCAGATGGTGTCCAGCCTGATCGACATCTGCCTCAATAAGACCCTGCAGCAGTTCAGTGACCACACCCAGGTCCTGCAGGAGCTCCCAGGCTACAGCCACCAGACCTTCCTCAAAGATCTCATCTATGTGCAGGTTTTCCAGGCCACCAACATCTCCAACTTGGTCCATGTGATCGCCAGCACCTACGTGGAGGTGTCCACCCAGCACCTCATGCCTCAGGTGACTAGGCTGGGGACCCTACTGACCCTGGAGCCGGGAGACGCCGAGTTTCAGGCCGAACGTCACAAGCTGCACCAAGGCTGTGACCAGGCCAGGAAGATGATCATGGAGTTGGTTCTCAGACACAAGGATGAGTTTGAGAGCAAAGTGCAGCAGAGGATGGATGCCATCGAACAAACCCTGGAGGGCGTTCTGCCACCCCCCACCCCACTGGAGGCTGAGGCCATCCAGGGCAGCCTGAGGGCGGATCAGGAAGCCACTTTCAGAGAGCTCTCGTCACTGGAGGAGGAACAATGGGCCTGAGAGAGGGTTAGAGCCAGCCTCAAGGCTGTCCTCCCTTCAGTTTAGAAGGTTGAGGGTGATCTGATTGAGGTGGTGGGTGGGGGGAATCCAGAACAAGGGGGACACCATCTTCACGTTAGAGCTGGGCCATTTAGGGATGAAATCAGCGGCAATTTTTCACACAAAAGTTTAGTGGGAATCGGGGAAATCGCTCCCTCTATCTCCCTTAAGGCTGTGGATTATGGTTGGACCCATTCACATTGCCCAGACTGAGGTGGAGAGATAACTGTCAGGTCAGGGGATCAAGGGATATGGGGCAAAGGAGGGTAATTGGAGTTGAGATACAGATCAGCCATGATTTAATAGAATGGCGGAACAAGCTCAAGGGGCAAATGGCCTCCTCCTGTTGCTATGTTCCATTAAATACTGCCAAATATTTGGGAACACTTTATTTACAGAAATAATACCCTGCCTGATCCGTGTCGAGCCGGAGATCGTGTAGATGGGGTTGTGTCAAACTGGGAGTCATGTCGGAGGACATTGAGCTCACAGTCCTGACTGACACTCGAGCCCTGCACTGGGGGAGCGTCACATTGTCAGAGACTCTGTCCTTAAACTGAGCCGCCCGTCCAGGGGTTTATTGTAAATCCTGCACCGCAGCTTGACAAGCGAAGGGATGACTGTCCCGTAACCAACAACCGCAGGTCCATCACACAGTCACTTCACGCCTGTGGTGGCTCGTCACCTTCTGTAATTTGGCAAATGGCTTCTGTGTTTATCTACAGAATACACAGCAAAACCCGTGAGAGTCTGTCAGACAGACTCCGAGCTGACACGTTACCGTGTGTGACGACCGCTGTGTTAGCGTTGTTGACACTACTGTGATAATGCATGTTCTTTCCTGTTAGTGAGCGAGTGAGCGAGGGAGTGAGTGAGAGCAAGGGAGCGAGTGAGAGCGAGTGAGAGCGAGGGAGAGCAAGTGAGTGAGTGAGAGCGAGGGAGAGCAAGTGAGTGAGTGAGAGCGAGGGAGCAAGTGAAAGCGAGTGAGCGAGTGAGAGTGAGGGAGCGAGGGCATTAGTGCGAGTGAGAGCGAGTGAGCGAGTGAGAGCGAGTGAGAGCGAGGGAGTGAGAGCGAGGGGAGTGAGAGCGAGGGAGAGAGGGAGAGACCGAGTGAGAGCGAGGGAGCGAGTGAGAGCGAGTGAGAGCGAGTGAGAGCGAGGGAGCGAGTGAGAGCGAGGGAGCAAGTGAGAGCGAGTGAGTGAGCGAGTGAGAGCAAGGGAGCGAGTGAGAGCAAGTGAGCAAGGGCATTAGTGCGAGTGAGCGAGTGAGCGAGTGAGAGCGAGTAAGCGAGTGAGAGCGAATGAGAGTGAGAGCGAGGGAGCGAGTGAGAGCGAGGGAGCGAGTGAGAGCGAGGGAGCGAGTGAGAGCGAGGGAGCGAGTGAGAGCGAGGGAGCGAGTGAGAGCGAGGGAGCGAGTGAGAGCGAGGGAGCGAGTGAGAGCGAGCGAGTGAGAGCGAGGGAGCGAGTGAGAGCGAGGGAGCGAGTGAGAGCGAGGGAGCGAGTGAGAGCGAGAGAGCGAGTGAGAGCGAGGGAGCGAGGGAGCGAGAGCGAGGGAGCGAGGGAGGAGCGAGGCTCTGCTGTGTCACAGCCCGGCTCACTGCTGCCTTTCTGTCTGTCACACATTAAAATCCAGTTACAATTCAACTCTCTTTATTGCCGTCACCATAAACCACAACCGCACAGTTATACAGGAACAGGAGTAGGCCATCCAGCCCCTCCAGCCTGCTCCACCATTGGTCCAAACACTTCATCAGATATGAACCCAATTCAACAACACATTATATTTACACAGCCCCTGACGGTCACGTCAGGAGGACCTCCCGAGGCGCTGGACAATCAGGGATTTGGACCCGAGCGGGGGGGTGGGGTCAGGAGGAGAGGAGGGCAGGGAGGTTAGGGGGTAGGAGGGTGGCTGAAGGCTCGGTCGCAGAGAAGGGTCTTGAGACGTGCCTTGAAGGAGGCGAGGGAGGGAGCGAGGGGACACTGGGATGGCCTTCCAGAGGGTGGGGCAGAGAGGCTGAAGGCCCGAATGTCCAGGGTGGGGATTAGTTAAAACTGAAGGATTTATCACAAATCTTTTAAGGCAACTGTGTTCCCCACTGATCTGCCTCACCCGATCCCTGACATGTCCTGCCCTTACTTAGGGGTGGGGTGGGGGAATGGTAACCAGGGTCTGCTCAGAGCTGAACTGGCCCCACGGTGACATGTTTGACAGTGGAACGTGGGAATCAAGGCCCCCCTCTGTGCCGGTCTCTCGGCCGGTTCCTGAGCCGGGAGGGGCCGCGGGATTCCAGGGCACTCACTGCTGATGGCAGCACAGCCCGGCCCGGCTCACCACAGGGCCTGGAAGGACAGACCAGGGGTCACTGGGGGCCAGGAATCCTCCCCTCAGCTCCAGGGAACCCCACAGCCAAAGCCCTAACTAACGGGGAGGGAGGTCCGAGCTGGACAAGCAGCGGGAAAGCTGCCGGACAGTGGTATCAGTGGCCAAGCTATGGGTTTAGCGGGTTACACTCCAGCAGTGACCCCAATGCACACCCAGGCCTTGGCTCTCGTTAGCTGGCGCTGCCCCCTGTCCCCGGTTAGGGCTTGAGGTGGATAGCGTTTTCCCGGCCGATGAAGAAGGCAGGAAACATCTGTCCACAGGGTTGGAGCTGGAAGCTGTGTATCTGCCACAGGTCGTGTGTCACCTGATAGAAAGACAATCGTCCCTCAGATAAGTCCAGCAGCAGCCCCAGCCTACAGTCCCTGCCCCGCCCCGGCCCCGGCCCCGGCCCCGGCCCCAGGGTTACCCCCTGGTTGTTGTGCCAGGCGGCCAGGCTGTGCTCAGACAGGTGCAGACACCAGGACAGGCTGTTCCTGCCCAACATGCTCCCTGACCCCCGGCTTTTCCTCCTCATGTCCCCGCTGGCCACCCCCACCTTCACGTTCCTCTTCCCATCCCACACCAGCCGCACTTCCCAGTAAGCCCGACCCGAGGAGAGAGCTGGCGTTCCTAGCGCCTGGCTGTGGACCTGGAATCTGTCGGGATGGTCCGGGTGATCCTCCATCTGCGGATGCACATTCCTCACGATCAGATCTCCGTCAGACAAGCACAGCTGCTCCGACACTGTGTCACGGTTAAACCTCACCTGCACAAGATCTGTCCCCACAGAGACAGAGCGTTATATCACAGCCTCCAACTCCCAACCCTCTCCACACCGCTCCCTTATAATATAATATATTAATATAATATAATATGATATATTAATATAGTAATGATGTTGCGATTGAAGGGGGTAAATTCAGACCAAATCTACGCAAACATAATTTCAGTGCGTGAATAGTGAACCTGTGGAGCTGGCTCCCGAGGGAGACGGTTGAAGTAGGAAATGTTGGTTCTTTCAAACACAGATTAGATCGTTTTCTTTTAGAAAATAACATTGTAGGATATAGGGAGTTTGGGACACATGTGCATGTAATCACCAGGAAGGTGGAAGGTGAACTGGATGGACCTTGATCTTTGATCGTCTGGAATTTCTGATGTTCTTATGTAATAATATTATAATAACCATAAAATAATATAATAATAATCCTTGCATTTGATATAGCTCCTTATCACTTCTTTGAGAAGTCGGAAAGTGCTTTGTAGAATACATTGTAAAGTGTGGTGACTATTTTGTGGGTGAAACGCGGCAGCCAATTGCACACAGCAGTGAGTGTCCCACAAACAGTGGCAGATTGAGTCATCACATTCCTTTTTTTTTGAAGGGATTATTACTCCCAGAAACCAACCCAACAATTGACTAACAGCTAACGATGGGTTCCTACTGACTGCGGTAAACAGAGCATGTTGTAAACTTGCCTAAGTTTTTGCGAAGCGAGTTCTCTAACCACGAAGCTACGTGACTCCACTTTGAGATGATGGCCAACGAGGAAGGTGTTGATCAACAGCACGGATCACTATATTGTATCATTATAATATCAATATATTATTATATTATTATATTATGATAGTGTTATACTATATTATAGTATTATATTATTATATTATACTATTATAATAATATTGAAAGGTAATTAATCTTTTATGATGTGATAAGGTGCTATATTAGTTGCAAACATCATTATTATTATTATTATGGCTGTTTGTGAGACATTGCTTTGTGCAAACTTGCTGCCACATTCACCTACAAAAAGAATATCTCGTGATGCGCTTTCAGACACTCAACGTGAATGGCGTTGGATCAAACGGTACAGATCATACAGTATGGATTATAATCTGTCCAAGACCGTCCACCCATTACAGCAGTCAGTGAATCGATCGCCCAGCCTGAACCACCTGTCATACCACTTGTTAATTATTATCTGCGAAAAGAAAACCATCCTGGTTTCTGTTTTGAAATTAACCTTTCGCTGCTGTGTTTCACCCACAAAGTACAGTCAATTCACTTTACAGTATATCCTGTGAAGCGCTTTGAGACGTCGCAAAGACATGATAAGGCTCTGTATCAAAGGCAAGGATTACTATTATTATCTCCATAAACTCTTTAAATCTGCTGATTTGGCAAAATTGTTCTAGGCTCACTTTCTCAATCGTGTATAAAATCTGGTCCATTTCTATTAGGATACTCCAGAAGTGTCTAACACTGCAGTTCCCAAACTCCTCTACTCATTGCTAATTTTTTTATTCCTCTACCTTTGGGCACCAACCTTTATCCCACCATCAAGCCCCAAATAATCTGTGCTGACAGTAAAGCTCCCTCATACCATACATCCGCACTCCCAGGTCAGGGTTACAGTCACAGTAAAGTTCCTCTACACTGTGTGTCCGCACTCCCAGGTCAGGGTTAGAGACACAGTAAAGCTCCTCTACACTCTCCGTCCACACTCCCAGGTCAGGGTTAGAGACACAGTAACGCTCCCTCTACACTGTGTGTCCACACTCCCAGGTCAGGGTTAGAGACACAGTAACGCTCCTCTACACTGTGTGTCCACACTCCCAGGTCAGGGTTACAGACACAGTAACGCTCCCTCTACACTGTGCGTCCACACTCCCAGGTCAGGGTTAGAGACACAGTAACGCTCCCTCTACACTGTGTGTCCACACTCCCAGGTCAGGGTTACAGACACAGTAACACTCCCTCTACACTGTGCGTCCACACTCCCAGGTCAGGGTTAGAGACACAGTAACGCTCCCTCTACACTGTGTGTCCACACTCCCAGGTCAGGGTTACAGACACAGTAACGCTCCCTCTACACTGTGCGTCCATCCACACTCCCAGGTCAGGGTTAGAGACACAGTAACGCTCCCTCTACACTGTGTGTCCGCACTCCCAGGTCAGGGTTACAGACACAGTAACGCTCCCTCTACACTCTCCGTCCACACTCCCAGGTCAGGGTTACAGACACAGTAACGCTCCTCTACACTGTGTGTCCACACTCCCAGGTCAGGGTTAGAGACACAGTAAAGCTCCTCTACACTCTCCGTCCACACTCCCAGGTCAGGGTTAGAGACACAGTAAAGCCCTCTACACTGTGTGTCCACACTCCCAGGTCAGGGTTAGAGACACAGTAACGCTCCCTCTACACTGTGTGTCCACACTCCCAGGTCAGGGTTAGAGACACAGTAACGCTCCTCTACACTGTGTGTCCACACTCCCAGGTCAGGGTTAGAGACATAGTAACGCTCCTCCACACTGTGCGTCCACACTCCCAGGTCAGGGTTAGAGACACAGTAACGCTCCCTCTACACTGTGTGTCCACACTCCCAGGTCAGGGTTAGAGACATAGTAACGCTCCCTCTACACTGTGTGTCCACACTCCCAGGTCAGGGTTACAGACACAGTAACGCTCCCTCTACACTCTCCGTCCACACTCCCAGGTCAGGGTTACAGACACAGTAACAGGGTGAGACTCAATGACTCTCTTGCTCTCGGGCTCTTACATTGCTGCAGGGCTCTGCGGTTCTGTATTGGATGTTCCAGTTGTGCAGAGGTTGAGATGTCATCTGTGTGGGAAGTGTCCGCTGTACAAACAGAAACACACAGACAATAATGTGCCCTGAGCTCTGCTCACCTGAACTTCACAGCTTCAGAGAATTATTTCATCAATTTGCTTCTCTCTGCTAAAAACGCTTAACTCTGTATATAGTGACTGGAGACACTCAGCTCCCAGACTGGTTTAGCTGTTCCTCTGGGTCAGAAGTTAGTGGAGTTCTGTAGCGAAGTGTTCCAGGACTCTATCCTGTGTGACGGGCGCTATATAAATGCAAGTTATTGTATTGGGTAGAGTTCTCGCCTCGCAAGAGAGAGACCTGGGTCCGATTCTCAGTCAGGGCAAAACCTTACACCAGTTTCCTTACCCCACACACCTCTGGTTAGCAGCATTGAGTAGGAACCCGGTTGTTAGTCGATTGGTGGATCACTTTCCAGTGGTAATAATCCCTTAAAAAGCATTGTTTGGTCACTCAATCCACGACTGTTTGTGGGACATTGCTGTGCGCAATTGGCCGCCGCGTTTTGCCCACAAAATATACAGTCAATTCATTTTACAGTGTATTCTGTGAAGCGCTTTGTGACGTTTCAAAGACGTGATAAAGCGCTGAATGAAATGCCAGAATTATTATCATTCTACATTTGTGGGTTTAAGGCCCACATCACATTACTGAGGCCTCCGCACCCTCTATATCTAGAGAGAGAGAGAGAGACAGGAAGAGAAACAGGGAGACTGAGAGAGGAACAGAGCGAAAGAAAAAGAGAACTAGAGAGAGCGAGATAACACAGAGGAGGGTCTGACCTGAGGGAGGGTCGGGGCTGGAGGACACTGACAGTTGCTTGCACAGGTGTCCGGAAAGCTCCGCAGGGTCTTTGCTCGGGTTCGCCCGCCTCACCTCGGCCTCGGCGTTCAGTCCCTCATTCACGTCCCAGATCTCCGTTAGCTTCACACCCTGGTAACCCTGGCAACCAGCGGTCAGGACAGTCACTACACACCCTGGTAACCCTGGCAACCAGCGGTCAGGACAGTCACTACACACCCTGGTAACCCTGGCAACCAGCGGTCAGGACAGTCACTACACACCCTGGTAACCCTGGCAACCAGCGGTCAGGACAGTCACTACACACCCTGGTAACCCTGGCAACCAGCGGTCAGGACAGTCACTACACACCCTGGTAACCCTGGCAACCAGCGGTCAGGACAGTCACTACACACCCTGGTAACCCTGCCAATCATCGTGTCTGTGCTGGAGCTCGCTCCCCACTGGAGTTCTCTACTCTAACCCCATTCCCTGCTCTCTCTCTCCCACCCCCCACCCCACTCTCTCCCCCCCGCTCTCTCCCCCCGCTCTCTCTCTCTTCCAGCTCTCTCTCCCCCCCCGCTCTCCTTCTCTCCCCCCGCTCTCCCTCTCTCCCCCCCGCTCTCTCTCTCTCCCCATTCTCTCTCCAAGCTCTCTCTCCCCCCGCTCTCCCTCTCTCCCCCCCGCTCTCTCTCTTCCCTCGTGCTCTCTCTCTCTCTCGCCCCTCGTACTCTCTCCCCCCGCGCTCTCGTTGTGTACCTGGATGAGTTGCAGCTGGTCCTCGGTGTTGAGAAGCTGTTGTAGTTGTTGCAGTTCCTGGCTGAGGTCCAGTCTCTGGCGCTCCAGCCTGACCGTCACTGCAGTCACCTCGCTCAGCGCCGCCCGCACCTCCCGCTCCCCGAATCCTGTCTCCTCCCGCCTGGCGCTCCCCACCCCCTCAGCCAGGCTCACCACAAGCCCCGACTCAGCGCTTCCTGAACACGTCTGAAGACAGAGAGAAAGACAATTGTCATGTGTATCAGACACCGGCTGATCACGGTGATGGTCTGTGTGTGTTGTGTGTGTGTATCAGACACCGGCTGATCACGGTGATGGTCTGTGTGTGTGTGTGTGTGTGTATCAGACACCGGCTGATCACGGTGATGGTCTGTGTGTGTGTGTGTGTGTGTATCAGACACCGGCTGATCACGGTGATGGTCTGTGTGTGTGTGTGTGTGTGTGTCAAACACCGGCTGATCACGGTGATGGTTTGTGTGTGTGTGTGTGTGTGTGTGTGTGTGTCAGACACCGGCTGATCACGGTGATGGTTTGTGTGTGTGTGTGTGTGTCAGACACTGGCTGATCACGGTGATGGTCTGTGTGTGTGTGTGTGTGTGTGTCAAACACCGGCTCATCACGGTGATGGTTTGTGTGTGTATCAGACACCGACTGATCACGGTGATGGTCTGTGTATGACCCTCACTGTCTGGAATGGAATGCGCTCTCTCTCTCTCTCTCGCTCTCCCTGGAGGGACGCCCCCTGCTTACCCTATTCCGGAGAGTATTAGGCGCAGGTTGGCGAGAGCCAAGGCTTCGGGGGAACCCAGAGAGTGTGTTGGGGTAACACACCTGGAGTCTGACCAGCTAACCACCTTGTCATTGATATCATGGACTGACAACTTTCCCGCTGCTTGTCCAGCTAGGACCACCCTCCCCGTTAGAAGCTGAGGGGAGGATTCCCGGCCCCCAGTGACCCCTGGTCTGTCCTTCCAGGCCCTGTGGTGAGCCGGGCCGGGCTGTGCTGCCATCAGCAGTGAGTGCCCTGGAATCCCGCGGACCCTCTCGGCTCAGGACACTGGTTTGTCCTCTCCCCACACCACCCCATCCCACCCCACCCCGGGGCCGGCCTGACCTGTTTGGCTGCACTGCAGTCCCTCTGCGCTGAGATCTGTCTGAGGGTCATATTCAGCCTCTGCTCCACTTCACACCGTCGTTTCAGGATCAGCTTCTGTGGAGAGTTACACAGAGGAATCCCCGTCACTGAGGGAATCCCCGTCACTGAGGGAATCCCCGTCACTGAGGGAATCCCTGTCGTGCCCCCACCTTCTGGAACTCCACCCCACAGTCCCTCCTCCCTCGCCCCCTCCCTCGCCACCTTCAAAACCCATCTCAAGACCCTCCTCTTCCACTGAGCTTTCGATCTCCCTGCTCCCCCCGCCCTCCCCCCCACCCCAACCCCAGCTCGGGTCGGTCACTCTGTCTGTCCAGTGCCTTGGGATGTCCTCCCCACATGAAAGGCACTTTACACATGGAATGTCGTCGTTGTTGCAGTTACACACACAGACGGGCTGTAGGTACACACACACAGACGGGCTGTAGGTACACACACACAGACGGGCTGTAGGTACACACAACACAGACGGGCTGTAGGTACACACACACAGACGGGCTGTAGGTACACACACCAGACGGGCTGTAGGTACACACACACAGACGGGCTTGTAGGTCACACACACAGACGGGCTGTAGGTACACACACACAGACGGGCTGTAGGTACACACACACAGACGGGCTGCAGGTACACACACACAGACGGGCTGTAGGTACACACACACAGACGGGCTGTAGGTGCACACAGACGGGCTGCAGTTACACACACACAGACGGGCTGTAGGTACACACACAGTGGGGCTGTAGGTACACACACAGACGGGCTGTAGGTACACACAGACGGATTGTAGGTGCACACAGACGGGCTGCAGTTACACACACACAGACGGGCTGTAGGTACACACACACAGACGGGCTGTAGGTACACACACACAGACGGGCTGTAGGTACACACACACAGACGGGCTGTAGGTACACACACACAGACGGGCTGTAGGTACACACAGACGGACGGGCTGTAGGTACACACACACAGACGGGCTGTAGGTACACACACACAGACGGGCTGTAGGTACACACAGACGGATTGTAGGTGCACACAGACGGGCTGCAGTTACACACACAGACGGGCTGTAGGTACACACACACAGACGGGCTGTAGGTACACACACACAGACGGGCTGTAGGTACACACACAGACGGGCTGTAGGTACACACACACAGACGGCTGTAGGTACACACACACAAGAACGGGCTGTAGGTACACACACAGTGGGGCTGTAGGTACACACAGACGGGCTGTAGGTACACACACACAGACGGGCTGTAGGTACACACACAGTGGGGCTGTAGGTACACACAGACGGGCTGTAGGTACACACACACAGACGGGCTGTAGGTACACACACACAGACGGGCTGTAGGTACACACACACAGTGGGGCTGTAGGTACACACACACAGTGGGGCTGTAGGTACACACAGACGGATTGTAGGTACACACAGACGGGCTGTAGGTACACACACACAGTGGGGCTGTAGGTACACACACACAGTGGGGCTGTAGGTACACACAGACGGATTGTAGGTACACACAGACGGGCTGTAGGTACACACACACAGACGGGCTGTAGGTACACAACACAGTGGCTGTAGGTACACACACACAGTGGGCTGTAGGTACACACACACAGTGGGGCTGTAGGTACACACAGACGGGCTGTAGGTACACACACACAGACGGGCTGTAGACACACACAGTGGGGCTGTAGGTACACACAGACGGGCTGTAGGTACACACACACAGTGGGGCTGTAGGTACACACACACAGTGGGGCTGTAGGTACACACACACAGTGGGGCTGTAGGTACACACACACAGTGGGGCTGTAGGTACACACAGACGGATTGTAGGTACACACAGACGGGCTGTAGGTACCCCGCAGTGCTCCGCAGTCTCCTGGAGGGTGAGCAGCTGATGATGGCGGTGTTGGCGGATACCGCACTCGGCACAGATGGGGCTGCGGTCCGGTCGGCAGTAGAGCTCCAGGCGGCGGCCGTGCAGTCGGCAGAGCGAGGCGGCCCGCGGGCCGGGTGCGGCCCTCAGCGCGGCACACAGGCGGCCCAGACTGATGCTCTTCCCGAGCTGCGGTCTGTCCGGGAAGCGGGTCCGGCACTCAGGGCACCGGTACTCCGGACCGCCCTCCCAGTGCCGCGCCAGACACCCGCCACAGAAACTGTGTCCGCAGGAGAGGGTCCGGGGGTCCAGGAACACATCCAGACAGATGGAGCAGGTCACCTCCTCCCGGAGCCCCGACCCCGACCCCAGGCCCGAGCCCAGGCCCGACCCGACCCCGACCCCGTCCCCGACCCCAACCCCGACCCCAGGCCCGAGCCCGACCCCAACCCCGACCCCAACCCCGGGCCCGACCCCAACCAGGCCCGAGCCCAGGCCCGACCCCAACCCCGACCCGACCCCAACCCCAACCCCGACCCCAGCCCGACCCCAACCCGGCCCCAACCCCGGCCCCAACCCCGGCCCCAACCCCGACCCCAACCCCGACCCCGACCCCAACCCCAACCCCGAACCCAACCCCGGCCCCAACCCCGACCCCAACCCCGACCCGACCCAACCCCGACCCCAGGCCCGACCCCAACCCCAACACCAGCTCCGACCCCTCCCCGAGTCGCGGCCTCAGCGCTCACTCTCCGCCACAAACACAATCCTCCGCTTCCGCCGCAGAGAGAAACCGAAAGTAAAACTGACCCGAGATCCTCCCCCCCCACGCCCCCCCGGACCCCCCCCCCCCCCCGGCCTCCTCCCCCCCGGGCCTCCTCCCCCCCGGACCCCCCCCCGGCGCCCCCCCCCCCCCGGGCCTCCTCCCCCACCGGGACCCCCCCCCCGGGACCCCCCCCCCCGGCCTCCTCCCCCCCCGGGCCTCCTCCCCCCGGGCCTCCTCCCCCCCGGGACCCCCCCCCGGCCTCCTCCCCCCCCGGGCCTCCTCCCCCCCGGGACCCCCCCCCGGGCCTCCTCCCCCCGGGACCCCCCCCCGGGCCCCCCCCCCCCGGGCCTCCTCCCCCACCGACCCCCCCCCCCCCGGGACCCCCCCCCGGCCTCCTCCCCCCCGGGACCCCCCCCCACGGGCCCCCCCCCCCCCCCCGGGCCTCCTCCCCCCCGGGCCCCCCCCCCCCCGGGACCCCCCCCGGCTCCCCCCCCCCCCCCCCCCCCCCCGGGACCCCCCCCCCCCGGCCTCCTCCCCCCCGGGACCCCCCCCCGGGCCTCCTCCCCCCGGGCCTCCTCCCCCCCCGGGACCCCCCGGCCTCCTCCCCCCCCGGGCCTCCTCCCCCCCGGGCCTCCTCCCCCCCGGGACCCCCCCCCGGGCCTCTCCCCCCGGGCCTCCTCCCCCACCGGGACCCCCCCCCCCCGGGACCCCCCCCCCCCGGCCTCCTCCCCCTGGGACCCCCCCCGGGCCTCCTCCCCCCCGGGCCTCCCCTACCGGGACCCCCCCCCCCGGGGACCCCCCCCCGGGACCCCCCCCCCCCGGGACCCCCACCCCGGCCTCCTCCCCCGGGCCTCCTCCCCCCCGGGACCCCCCCCGGGACCCCCCCCGGCCTCCTCCCCCGGCCTCCTCCCCCCCGGACCCCCCCCCGGCCCCCCCCCCCCACAAGGGGCTGTGTGAGGGCCACAGACCCCCGGACCCCCCCCACAAGGGCTGTGTGAGTGGCCACAGACCCCCGACCCCCCCACAAGGCTGTGTGAGTGGCCACAGACCCCCGGACCCCCCCCACAAGGCTGTGTGAGTGGCCACAGACCCCCGGACCCCCCCCACAAGGGCTGTGTGAGTGGCCACAGAACCCCCGACCCCCCCACAAGGCTGTGTGAGTGGCCACAACCCCCGGACCCCCCCCCCACAAGGGTGAGTGAGTGGCCATAGACCCCCGGACCCCCCCCACAAGGGCTGAGTGAGTGGCCACAGACCCCCGGACCCCCCCCACAAGGGCTGAGTGAGTGGCCATAGACCCCCGGACCCCCCCCACAAGGGCTGAGTGAGTGGCCACAGACCCCCGACCCCCCCACAAGGGCTGAGTGAGTGGCCACAGACCCCCGGACCCCCCCCACAAGGGCTGAGTGAGTGGCCACAGACCCCCGGACCCCCCCCACAAGGGCTGAGTAAGTGGCCACAGACCCCGGACCCCCCCACAAAGGCTGAGTGAGTGGCCACAGACCCCCGGACCCCCCCACAAAGGCTGAGTGAGTGGCCACAGACCCCCGACCCCCCCACAAGGGCTGAGTGAGTGGCCACAGACCCCCGGACCCCCCCCACAAGGCTGAGCACTGCTGATATTTTTATGCACCAAATGCCGATTCCCATCTGTTCCGATCGTGTGAGTGTTTGAGAGTCACTGACGCTGTGTGAGTTGGAGGTAAACCATCCCATTGGCGTCTGTGTTAAGTTATTTTTGAAATGGACTGATCTACAATACACCAAATACATCAACAACAACAACAGCAACAACACGATTACATTTGTATACCGCCTTTCACATCGGGAGGACGTCCCAAGGCGATGGAAGAGTCAGGGATTTGTACCCGAGCTGGGGGTTGGGATCATGGAGGGTGGAGAGGGTAGCAGATTGAGCAACGACACAGTCGAAGAGGAGGGCCTTGATTCGGGCTTTGAAGGTGGCGAGGGAGGGAGCAAGAAGAAGAGACTGTGGAATGGAGTTCCAGAGGGTGGGGACAGAGAGGCTGATGGTCCCACCAATGGTGGGCGGGTGGGTGGGGGACGTGGAGCAGCCAGAGCGGCTGAGAGGGGAGCGGGCGGGTTGGTAGGGGGTTAGGAGGTGGCAGAGGTAGGGTGGGGCGAGGCCTTGGAGGGCTTTGTATGTGAGGACCAGGATCTTGAACTGGATCCCCTGAAGGATAGGGAGCCAATGGAGTCGGGCGAGAGTGGGGGAGATGGGGTCACGGAATTTGGTGCGGGAGAGGACACGGATCCAGAGTTCTGGACTATCTGCAGCTGTGGAGGGAGGAGTTGGGAAGGCCGACACGCAGGGCTTTGCACAGTCGAGCCTGGAGATGATGAAGGCTTCAACAAGAGTTTCACGGCCTGAGGGGTGAGGGAGTGATGGAGTCGGGTGATGTTACGAAGGTGAGGGAAGGCAGAGTGGGTCATGGCGTGGATGTGGGGGAGAAAAGACAGTTGAGGGTCGAACAAGACCCCTCGATTCCTGACTGACGGTGAGTTGTAGTGTACACCATGGAGGGTGATGCTCCCAGAGCCTGAGGTGCGGAGGTGTTGGCGCGAACACACATTAAGAATACCCCACATTCCCACAGCAATAATACAGCAGATGGTTTAGCACAGTCAAACAGAAAGGTCTTGAGACCGGCCTTGAAGGAGGAAAGGGAGGAGGCGGCGAAGGCACTGGGGGATGGAGTTCCAGACCCACGGGGCTGAAGGCCACCGATGGTAGGGCGGTTGGGGCGGGGGATGTGGAGCAGACCGGAGCCAGAGGAACGGAGGGTACGGGCAGGTAAATGGGGGACAGTAGGTCGGAGAGGTAGGAGGGAGCGAGGCCGTGAATGGCCTTGTAGGTGAGGATGAGGATCTTGAATTCGATCCTCTGGGGATGGAGCCAGCTGAGGGCGAGTGAGGGTGAGGGTGAGGGCGAGGGCGAGGGTGAGCGAGGGTGGGAATGATGTGGTCGCGGTGTCTGGTGCGGGACAGTACATGAGCTGCAGAGTTCTGAATGACCTGCAGTGTGGAGGGAGGGCCGGGAAGGCCGACGAGGAGAGAGATTTAGTGTGTGATAGGGAGTCAGTGGGGGCTGGTGGGAGGTGGGGTGATGGGGTACAGGGTTTAGTGTGTGATAGGGAGCCAGTGGGGGCTGGTGGGAGGTGGGGTGATGGGGTACAGGGTTTAGTGTGTGATAGGGAGCCAGTGGGGGCTGGTGGGAGGTGGGGTGATGGGGTACAGGGCGATAGGGTGCCGGGGAGGCTGGTGGGTTGTGGGGTGATGTGGTACAGGGTGATAGGGTGCCAGGAGGGGCTCTTGGGAGGTGGGGTGATGGGGCACAGCGTGATAGGGTGCCAGGGGGCGCTGGTGGGAAGTGGTGTGATGGGGTACAGGGTTGATAGGGTGCCAGGGGGGGCTGGTGGGGTGATGAGGGTACAGGGTGATAGGGTGTCGGGGGGCTGGTGGGAGGTGGGGTGATGGGGTATAGAGTGATAGGGTGCTAGGGAGGCTGGTAGGAGGTGGGTGATGGGGTACAGTGCGATAGGGTGCCAGGGGGGACTGGTTCGAGGTGGGTTGATGGGGTACTGGGTGATCGGGTGCCGGGGGGGGCTTGTGGGAGGTGGTATGATGGGGAACAGGGTGATAGGGTGATAAGGGGGGGCTGGTGGGAGGTGGGTTGATGGGTTTCAGGGTGATAGGGTACCAGGGGGCGCTGTTGGGAGGTGGGGTGATGGAGTACAGGGTGATAGGGTGCCAGGGGGTCTAGTGGGAGGTGGGGTGAAGGGGTAAAGGGTGATAGGGTACCAGGGGAGGCTGGTGTGAGGTGGGGTGTTGGGTTACA